CACTCCGGGTGTCACCCAGCCTCAGGACGTCCCTGCTGTACAGCATTTTTTCACACCTGCCAAAAACTTTAGCACAGTACTGTATATATATATAACCGGTGGGGACACAGCTAAAAGATTGGTTTTGCATCGACCACGGGTCCACCACCGCATTTCCTGATTAGACAACCTAGGTCGCTGACTTTGATGTTTACAACCGTATTGATTACTGAAACACAAATTCCACCTTCCCAGTGTAACGAGAGTGATAGGGACGCCATTATCTTAAGATACGTGGCGCGGGGGTCAATGATTGCTCCTTTATCAGGTGATCACAGCTTTGCTTTTTACCATATATCTCCCTGCATGCGAGAGCGCATCAGTTGTCCGTTTTTATTGTCAGTCACACACATAACACACATTTCCAGTTATTACTGTAACAATGAAGTGATTTTTGAATGCAGCACATTTTGGCATGCTTGCTGGAACATATTTTCATATATGAATGTGGAGGTTGCCCTCTAGTGGACTCACAGCAGGTGAGCATTCAGCACCCAGTAGAGCAGGGGTAGCCAAACTTCGGCCATCCAGCTGTGGTGAAACTACAAATCCCATGATGCATCGCTCTCCGGGAGTCATGTCTGTGAGAATCTTGCAATGCCTCATGGGATTTGTAGTTCCACCACAGCTGGAGGGCCGGAGTTTGGCTACCCCTGCAGTAGAGGAACAGCGTATACAACCATTACCAACATATATCATTACAAAGCAGACACAGAAACACTTCTTATAACACACACACACACACAAACTTTTTACTGACACCCTTCAGATGAGAAAGATTACAGAGTTCCATTAAAGAGGACCCACCACGTGCTGTTAATGGGCAGCTATAATGCTGCATGAAAACTACGCCGATGATGCTGAAGATGAGTAGAAACGTTCTGCTATATATTGCAATGTCCACGCCTTATGCTGATGTTGGCTAATGCAGGAGAGCAGTTCCCTCATGTGGCAGGATGTAATGGAAAGTGAACGATCCCAATCATTGTGCTGGGGAATGACGCGCTGTCACAGGAGGCTGAGCTCTCCTCCCTACACCGTTCGCTCAGCCTCCTGTGACAGCGTGTCAGAGAGGAGAGCGGGTACTAGCAGTCAGTGATCAGTGATCGCTGAGTGTTTGTACATAATTGAGGACAGAGTATGGTTACTATATCCCCAATTATGAAAGAATGGGAAGTGATCTACATTACCCCACGTCCATTCATGATTGTAGTTATAGTAAACATACTCTGTCCTCATGTTATGAATGAACATGAACACTCATAGAGGATTCCTGTTCATTGATAACAGGGGACACAGAAAAAGAGATTGAGGACTCTGTGTTCTCTGAGGACTTTGTGTTCTCAATCTCTTTTTCTATTTTAAAAGGGAAATATCAGGGGTCTGTTTAGACCGCTAATATTTCCCCAAAACCCCTAAAAGTAAAGTAAAAAACGAAAATATTTATTAATAAATGAATTAATAAAAATATTAAAAAAATAAAAAAGTTTATAAAAAAAATAAAATATTTGAAAAAAAAAGGAAAAAATTAAAATAAAAAACATTTTCGGTATCGGTTTCGGCCTGACAATTTTTTTTTATTTCGGTTTTAAAATATCCATTTCAGTGCACCTCTAATGGTGTGCGCCTCTGTAAACCCCATGTTCTATTTTTTGCCCATATGCAACTGTCCCTTTCTGTAATGGAAGTTGAGGTTCTGCAGCTTTGACCAGCACGAGAACAGTCACTAGTCAGGAAAAAAGATCCTTGCAGCACTCCTTACCGGGATTCCCATATACCCTGTTTCCCTGAAAATAAGACCTAGTACTATTTTTGGGAATTGCTAAAATATAAGACCTACCCCGAAAATAAGACCTAGTTGTGGCCATTCCCAGGGCCGGTGGTGGCATAAGGGGGAACTTGAAGAGCCGCAGGAGAGAATCAGCGGTGCCAATGAAGCCAGCGCTAGAGGAAGCGAGGCAGCAGCGGAGGGAGCAGAGCCGCATAAGCTAATGCTTCCTCTATAGCGCAGTCTCCTGTCACAGGTGGAGTGATACCAAATGCACTCCGCCTGTGCGGAATCGATAGTGAAAGCGCGCTTCGCTTTTCCTGGTTACCAAATTGCACCCCCTGATCACCCTATTCCTAAATTTGCCACTCCTGTCTTCTAAGTCTTCTACCGGTATTATGGTATGTAAGACCTACCCCGAAAATAAGACCTAGTGTGTTTTTTTTAAACCAAAAAAAATACAAGACAGTGTCCTATTTTCGGGGAAACACGGTAGATATGCCGGCGGCTGCTTGAAATGACTGCGGATGGCGCCGCAACATAGTTGAAAAATCTCACCAGCACACCACAGCGATGATTACAGCAATGAAGTGTTCATTTATTGACAGATGCTGTCTCTCGTTTGCAAGCGCTTTGGGGGCCACGTGGGGCCCCTTCATCAGGCTCAGAGATGACGGGGGTCCCCTTCAGCAGTCTCTGAGCCTGATGAAGGGGGCCCTGCATGGCCCCTGAAAGCGCATGCAAACGAGAGTCACTAGTCGGGTTCAGTGACAGGGTGACACCTAAAGCTTATCTCTGGAGAGGAAAATAAAACTTTCCTTGCGGTGGGGCTGCTCCTGCACTGCAAGGGTTAACTGCGCCTCTAGGTCTACCTGTGTAAAGCAGCTTTATTTACCTGCTTCCGTCTCCTCCAGCAACCTGGTCTCCCTTACGCACTATGTGGTGGACTGTTACTCGACACTCTCACATATAATGAAGGGCTTTTGGGCCCTGCATTGTGCATGATGACGTCAGCGGGCCTCCGACTGCCAAAGAATAGGGGGGGATGCTGCGGTTGCCAGTCTAAGATCCAGCAAGCAAAAGTCCCTGGACATCAATGAGCATTTAACCCTTGCCGTTCAGAGGCAGCACCACTGCAAGGGGAGGATTTGTTCCCTGGAGGTTCAGCTTTAACACTTCCTGCATCACTGACCCAGAACAAAGCAAGTCACAAAAATCACTTCTCTGCAATCTTGTTCTAGTTCAGAGACCCAAACGGCATTAAAGCCAGAGGATCACTATGACGGCCAGGCAGCTGGCATTTTTAGATCGAAGAGCCAGTTAATATATTGCCAGGTATCCGTTATTTACTAAAGGAAGGTGCTGTCACTGGAAATGGCACCAAAAATGCAGCAATTTGTTTTTTTTAATTTATTGTAGATGAGAACTGTACCGTAGTCATGTCGGTCCAGCAGATAAAGCCATCAACATAGGTCTATTTATAGACAATTAGCAGGGCCCCTCAGACTTTGAATATCTGAGAACGTTCCTCCTGTGCGAATAATAGCAAAAAAAGAGAATGTTCTTAAAGGAGAACTATGACATGAGTGATTTCCACTCACCTTATAGTTCTAGCCGACCTGTGACAATGAGACTGTCACAGGTCGGCTCAGTAGATCGGGAGGTGAGCGAACACATACCGGGTTCCCTCACCTCTCGATCCTGTCACGGCTCTCTGCCGTGACAGGGGGAGGGGCTGGATTCCCCTCTCCCCGCTCCGATCTGCCAGCGCTGACTGGCGGAACGGACGGGGGAGGGGGCGGGTACAGCTGGCTCTGCCTCTAGATAGGCAGAGCCAGCTGTCACTCACGCAGCTGGGCGGATCCCGTCATCTAAGTCGGGATCCGCTCCAGGTGCGGCGTCTCAGTATACCGCGAGCTGTAGCTTACGGTATACTGAGCCTAGGGTGATCGGAGGACGCTAGTTTGTGTCCTCCCGTTACCCCAAGGAGAACTATGGGGAAAAGCACTGACCCCATAGTTCTCCTTTAATATGTTTTCTTTTCAGGTCCAAAATATTGTGATGTAATACTGAATTATGGCCACTAGATGGAGCCGAGGAGCACAGGGAATGAATACTTATTTTTAGGGATGCACCGATCCCGGTTTTTCAGGATCGAGTACCAGTACTGATATTTTTTTTTCGGTACTTGCCGATACCGAATCCGGATATCCCATTACGGAAGCCAGGTGGTGTGTAAAGACTTGCCACCCGGCTTCTCGATAAGCAGGGAAGCCGCCTCCATGCTCCCTTGTTACAAGGTGACGAGGGAGCATGGAGCTGGCTTTCTGGCCAATCAGGAAGCCAGGCGGTGAGTCATTACAGGGCGCCCGGCTTCCTGATTGGCCAGCTTCTCGACCAATCAGGAAGCCGGGCAGCGAGTCATTACAGGGCACCCGGCTCCCTGACCGGCTGGGGAGCCGGCTCCATCCTCCCTCATCACCAAGTGATGAGAGAGCATGGAGGCGGCTTTCTGGCCGATCAGGAAGCAGGTAAAGACTCGCCGCCTGGCTTCCTGATTGGCCAGTTTCTCGACCAATCACGAAGCAAGGCATCTCCTGGCAGCCTTATTGGCCAAGAAGCCGCCTCCATGTTACCTCGTCACCAGGTGACGAGGGAGCATGAAGCCGGCTTTCTGGCCAATCAGGAAGCCGGGGGGCGGGTAATGACTCGCTGTCTGGTTTCCGGATTGGCCAGCTTCCCGACCAATCAGAAAGCTAGGCGGCGGGTCATTACACCAAGTGATGAGGGAGCATGGAGCTGGCTTCCCAGGCCAATCAGGAAGCCAGGCAGTGTGTAATGACTCGCTGCCCGGCTTCCTGATACAGGAAGTTCGGGTATCGGGCTAGGCATCGGAGCAGTTGGGCGAGTACGAGTACTTGCCCAAATACTCGGTACCGTCACCGATACAAGTATCCGTATGAGAACATGCCTACTTATTTCCTATGCTCCATCTAATGGCCAAAATGCAGTACTGCACTACAATACATTGGACCTGAAAAGTAAACATATTAAGAACGTTCGTTTTTGCCATTATGTGCACAAAACGAACATCCACAGATATTTGCAGGGTGAAGGGCCCTGTGGGTTGTTTATAGGTTAACCCCGTAGTGTTTCCTTTTTAAAAGTTTGGCACAAGCAACATTATCCTTTCACTGACCATAGATATGTCAATTATACATTGTTCAACCAAGTCATCCAGAGCTCTTACTCAGAAGAGTCCTTCACCATATCTATTGGCCACTCTGAACTGAACCACTCTGATTGGTTCTTCATGGTTCGTGGTTCCAGAGCTCTCTATGTCCGGTGAGGAACATTTGTAATTGGCTTTATTTAGGGTCCGGGTCCTGCCCAGCCCGAATGACCCTGAACGGAGGTCCGTGTCCAGGAACGATCACATCGGCCAAAGCCAACAAAGTCCTCCGGCTCTTCTCCTGGACCTCTGCGTTTTCGCTCAGTTCTCTCCAAGAGTCCTCGTCTCCCTCCCGCTCGAAGACGTCCCCGGCCACGGCCACCATGCCGAGACTGGTCCCCGGAACGAGGAGGGTTACATCGCTGCCCGTGTGACCTGGCGTGGCCACCACCTTCAGCCCTTCCCCACCGGGCAGCAGGTAGGGTTCTCCTCCGCGGAAGTTGTGGTAGACGTAGGAGCCGTCCCGCCACAGGTCGTAGGACACCAGAATCTCCGCCTTCGGGAAGAGGTTGAGGTTGCCGGCGTGATCGGAGTGTCCGTGGGTGCAGATGACGTGGGTGACGTCGCCGGGAGCCGCGCCGTGGCCCTGCAGAGCCTCCAGGATAATATCGCGGGACCACGGGCCGCCGGTGTCCACCAGGACGGTCAGCGGGCCACGGATAAGGGTGACCGTGCCGTCAGCCTCGAAACGATCGGCCCCGACGTCCCTGCAGTAACCTTCCAGGAGGATATGGACCGAATGGGGGGAGCCGGGAATGTCATGGGTGGAGAGAGGGGACGTCACATACTGCAAGAGAAGGTAAAAAGGTCAGGGTGGCCTACGTATGGACATAGAAAGGTCAGGGCGGCCTACATATGTGGACTTTGTATGTTCTAACCCTATAGTCGATGTATGGAGCCGAGAGAGGACCTGACGTGTTAACTTTCTTGCCTCATGTTGGTAACCTCCCTGCATTGCATAAAGAAGCTCAGAGACTCAGTGATGACATCATTGGGTCTACATGAGGTACGTAATGAAAATGGAAAGCTTTGATTTTATCATTTAATTAGCATGTTGGTGTTATCGGTTTTGATTCTAAAGGCCACTTCCAGTCATTTTTTTGTAGCTTTAGATAATGTGGAGCGGAGATAAAGTAGAATCTTGACTGAAATTGTGTGTCTGTGGCCACATTGCGAACATTTATCCTCACTTCTGCCCTCTGTGACAAACATACAAGAAATGGAAAGATTGGTTGTCACCGAGACAGGAAGTAACGGATAGCAATAAAAACATGGCCCTCCCCCACTCTAATACAAATGTGTTTATGTTAATGAAAATAAATGATCATGAGCCAAAATAATTACTCCATGATTGCCTTAAAATGAGCTTTACGTTACTCTAAAGAAAGTTCAGCGGTGACAGGATCTCTTTAAAGGCGGGCTTTGAAGATAGAAGAGAGATACAATGTATCCATTGATCATCTCACCTCCATTCTGCGGCTGGACGCTCTCTGCTGATCACGTGACCCAGCACACAGCCAACCGCATCAGCTTTCTGATTGGCACAGACGGTGATGTGTCGAAAGTGCGAACTTATCGAGTTGTGGGACCGCATGACTTCCGGTTTCCTCAGAACTACGAGGTTTGCACACAAAACATGTTGTGCACGAGCGCCTTCCACGGCATTGCCCTATACACTTAGACCGCAGCAATAAAATGATGTAGGATGACAGTAAGCCAGCACGTTCTTTATCTCCGGTGCCCCACTCAATATGGCCGCCGCTTGAGTGGGGCACCTGAGATAAAGAACGCGCTGGCTTACTGTCATCCTACATCATTTTATTACTTTATTGCTGTGGTCTATGTCTATAGGGCAATGCCGTGGATGGCGCTCGTGCACAACATGTTTTGTGTAAAAACCTCGTAGTTCTGAGGAAACCGGAAGTAATGCGGTCCCACAACTCGATAAGTTCGTAGTTTTGATCGATCACCGGCCCTAGAAGATGTAGCTTACCAAACCGCCTCCTCAGCGAATTCAAAATCCGAGCCCAGGGCGGTCACGCGAGTTCAACAGTGAAGCGAAGAGCAAACCTGGGAAAACCTATATATTTTTTTGTTTAATCTCTACGTTTACTAGTGCGCATGCGCCAGAGCAGCGCGGCCTTTTCAGTCACCGTCGCTTTTTTGCAAACGCACCCGTCTTTTCTACGCATGCGTGCCTCGGCTTCCGGCTCTGCGTTCCAAGCCTGGTCCTGGAAGTGGCATAAGACACCCGTACAAGTGTCCCCCTTTACGGGTCGGCGAGAAAATAACAAAACAGAAAATATTTTAGAACCGTGTGGACCGTCTGAAAGTCATTTTTACTCTATTTGTAAGCACGGTTGGAATATAGCTCCGTCACAGAGGTACAGGACCTTGCAGACACAACCGGAAGTTTACCTGGTAACCGGAAGTGATCCAGGGGAACGTACTGGAGAGCTGCGGTGAGTGATGTGAGGAGCTGGAGAGTCCCATGTATGTAATGTATATTTACTAATATTGTATTCATGTTTTAGATAGAGATGTCAGTGCAGGGCGGGTATGTGTAGCCCAGAGATAGGAATGTAGCATGTAAAAAAAAAGGAGGGGTTGCATAAACAGGACATTGGGGAAATCAGGGATCATGTGTGATAAGAGCAGTTTGGATCGTGAGGCAGCTGGCAGGGTCAGGCCCTGAGCCTGGGGTCTGTCAGTGGTGTCTCTCATGTTATTGCAGATGTCAGGCCATGGATGGAAAGTCCAGCTGTCATACTGCTACACCGCTCCCATGTCCATCTCTGTACGCCGTGTACCGTGTCCTCATCTCTATACGCCGGACCCTTGTCCTCATCTCTATACGCCGGACCCTTGTCCTCATCTCTATACGCCGGACCCTTGTCCTCATCTCTATACGCCGGACCCTTGTCCTCATCTCTATACGCCGGACCCTTGTCCTCGTCTCTATACGCCGGACCCTTGTCCTCGTCTCTATACGCCGGACCCTTGTCCTCGTCTCTATACGCCGGACCCTTGTCCTCGTCTCTATACGCCATGTACCGTGTCCTCGTCTCTATACGCCATGTACCGTGTCCTCGTCTCTATACGCCATGTACCGTGTCCTCGTCTCTATACGCCATGTACCGTGTCCTCGTCTCTATACGCCATGTACCGTGTCCTCGTCTCTATACGCCATGTACCGTGTCCTCGTCTCTATACGCCATGTACCGTGTCCTCGTCTCTATACGCCATGTACCGTGTCCTCGTCTCTATACGCCATGTACCGTGTCCTCGTCTCTATACGCCATGTACCGTGTCCTCGTCTCTATACGCCGCGTACCGTGTCCTCGTCTCTATACGCCGCGTACCGTGTCCTCGTCTCTATACACCGGTCCGTGTCGCGTACCGTGTCCTCGTCTCTATGCGCCGCGTACCGTGTCCTCGTCTCTATGCGCCGTGTCCTCATCACACTTACCAGCCAGCTCACCAGGAGAATATAGAGCTGTTGGAGATTTTCCCTTCCTGTCTGGTAAAAAGTTGTTAGCAGGACAGGAAGTGTACCTCAGCACTAAATACTGAAAAATGGCCTGGACAGGAAGGGGTTTTAACACCCCGCTCTTCGAGTGGTTAAAGGGACTCTTGTCTACTATAAAAAGAAAAAAAATGTAAGAAGTTCTACCTGTGATAGAAGTTATTATTATACAGGATGTGCAACACTTTACAATATACAGGAAGACAGAACAGGTACAATACATTTCAAGATAAGAGGGTTAGGAGGGCCCTGCCCGTGAGAGCTTACAATCTAAAAGAAACATAGACGAGTGATGTTAGAAGAAAACCAAGTGGTCCATTGAGTCCCAAATGTGTTTCAACTCCCTTCCTGTTGACTGACTCCCTACCTCTGCTGGAAGTCTGTTCCAAATACCAACTACTCTTTCAGTAAAATAATACTTTCTAGGGTTCAGTTTGAACTTTCCTCCATCTACTTTGAGGTTATGTCTCTGTGTTCTTGATCTTAGCTCCATACCGAAAATCCTGCCCTTCTGAACCTTATTCGCACCCTTCAGGTTTCAGTCATGCCCCCACTTTTTGATGAAGAATGAGCACAATGTCTCTCGTACCTCCATGTTCATACTGTTTGCGTCTCTCTCTATACTCCCAGGCTCTCCAAACAATCCCCTTGGTTATGGCGGAGGGGAAGAAGATCGGGAACGCTCTCCTCCCCAGCGAGTCCATGAAAGTGATTGCCGAGTCTATAGGAGTGTCGCAGATGTCAGAGGAGACCTGCCAGCTGCTCACACAAGAAGTCAGCTTCCGGATAAAGGAGGTCACTCAGGTCAGAGGTCACCTCAGTTGGAGAGAATGGAGGGGCACAGTCTGATGGTTTCTAGAATACTCTGAATCTGTAGCCACTTTATACCAGATGCTTTGATCTCTGGTGTTCATGAACATTAAATAGAACCAGTCACATCTTAGTGTATGCAATTGAAATGTTGTGCTCAGTTTTACATGAGTATAATTGTGTGGGGTTATTTCCTTTTGTCTGAGTCTAACTTTTAAACTTAAAAGAGAACTATAGGGTAAGTGTTTTTTCCCTATAGTTCCCTTTAGGGTCACGGGAGGACATAAACTAACCTCCTCCCGTGACCCAAAGCTCAGTATATAGCCGGCTATTGCTTGCGATATACTGAGACCGCCGCAGCCGGGACAGATCCTGGCAATACTGTTGAGATCCCTCCAGCTGCGTGAGTGACAGCTGTCTCTGCCTATCTAGCGGCAGAGTCCCCTGTTTGTTCCTCCACTTAGCGCTGGAGGATTGGAGAGGGGAGGGGGGAATCCCTGCGGGGACCGGTGACTGACAGTCATAGTTCTCCTTTAAGAGTCAAATGTGAGTGATCATCTGAAGTCTGATACTTGCTGCCAAGTTCACACACTTTTTATTATTATTATTATTATTGTTATGCAGGATTTATATAGCTCCAACAGTGTGCTCGGAGCTTTAAAATATCATTAAGATATTACAGTTACAATACAAATCAAAACAAGATGGTTAGGAGGGTCCGGCCCCTGAGAGCTTACTATCTAAAAGGTAGGGGCAAATGATACAAAAGGAAGTTCACTAGTTACACTTGCCGTCTCCCAGCTCTTGAGTGTGCATACCAGTGTGAGATTCAAAAAAAGTCACATCATTAGAAAAAACTGCAAATTATAATGTAATTTCTGATGCTAAATAAGGGGGCAGATAAAAATCTTTCATAGGTAAGACTAGAGCTGCAGCTAACGATTATTTTCAAAATCGATTAGTTAGCCGATTATTACGTTCGATTAATCGGATATAAAATAAAATACATTTTAAAAAATGGCTCCTGTGATGGGACTACTAGTTTGTATTGAGATTGTAGTCCATCACAGGAGCAAGCTTGGAGCGGTGGAAGTAAAAAAGTTTGGTGTGCAATATAGTGAAATGGAAAGTGTAAAATTATACAGCAATCAATGCAGAATGGCACCAACAAATCCCAGCAATAGTACATTATACAGTGCAATGCAGGATACCACCAGCTATAGAGGAGTACAACAAATCCCAGCAATAGTACATTATAGCTGGCGGTATTCTGCATTGCTAAGTATAATGTACTATTGCTGGGTTTTGTAGTCCTCTATACAACGCAATGCAGAATACCACCAGCTATATAGAAACACAACAAATCCCAGGAATATATTATACAGACCGTGTGTAATGTATTGCTGGGACAGCACAATGTTCCATCAGCTATAGAGGAATACAAATCCCAGCAATACATTATAGTCCACACCTGCTCCTCCTTACTTCTTCTCCCCGCCTCCCTGTGACGATCGTGGATGTGGGTGAGCGTGAGGCGGGGAGGAGGTGCTGCGTGTGTCACTTCCTGCCACTGTGCAGTGCCAACTGGAATAAACTACAATTCCCATCATGCAATGGGAAGAGCAGCTGTCAATGAGAGTTAATGTGGGCAGGACTTTGGAAGTGTATGGGCAGGGCAGACCAGGAGTCTCTTGGTCTGTCAATCGTGGTGTTATGGTATGGTGGGCAGGAGTCTGAGGCGCCTTTGTCCTCCCACTGCAGCCAGTGCTGATGTAATTATGTCGCAGCTTGTAAAGAAAGAACTGCAGAGGGAATGTTAAACAACAAGTTGCTTAAGGAAGTCACAGGCACAGCGGCCACTGGTCGTACAAACAGGAAAAAAGGGACACTGAGCCCTTTTATGCAGGTTCCTGACAGTGATTTTATGGTGGCCGCACCATTGAATTACAAAAGAAGAACACATTCATGGAAGACAAAAATGTCATTATTATTATACAGTTTGCGAAACTCTTTACAATACAGTTCAGGGCCTGTTCACATGAGTTTCGGGTCCTGATCAGGTCCGGATCTGCAGACGCGGTGCTACTGATGCAGTGCGTTTTTGATGCGTTTGCGTTTCCTGACCGTGCAAAATGTGACATGCAGTATTTTTCTGTCGTAAGCTGAACGGACTGCGC